TTGCTTATTCTAACAGTTTTTGGTGGAGTCTTTAGGGTTTTCTATATATAATATGTCATCAGCAAATAGTGACAGTTTTACTTCTTCTTTTCCAATTTGGTTGACTTGTATTCCTTTTTCTTACCTAATTCCTATGGCTAGGACTTCAGTACAGTGTTAAATAAAAGTGGCAATAATGGGCATCTTTATCTTGTTCCTGACCTTAGAGGAAAAGCTTATAGGTTTTCATCGTTCAGTATGATGTTAGCTGTGGGCTTGTCTTATATGGCCTGTATTATGTTGAGGTATGTTTCCTCTGTACCCACTTTTTTGGGAGTTTTTATAAATGGATCATGAATTTGGTCAATTGTTTTTTCTGAAATTATCATATTTTTATCCTTTATTTTGTTAATGTGGTATATGATATTGATTGATTTCTAGATGTTGAACCATCCTTGCATTCATGAAATAAATCCCACTTGATCATGGTGTATGATCCCTTTAATGTATTGTTGAATTTGGTTTGCTAATATTTTATTGAGAATTTTTACATCTGTGTTTATCAGGAATATTGGCCTGTAATTTTCTTATCGTATCTTTCTCTGGTTTTTGTATTAGGGTTATGCTGGCCTTATAAAATTACTTTGGAAGTATCCCTTCATCTTTTATTTTTTGGAAGTTCGAGAAGGATTGGTATTGATTCTTATTTAAATGTTCAGCAGAATTCACTAATGAAGCTATCTGGTCCTGGACTTTTCTTTGTCGAGAGGTTTTTGTTTACTGATTCAATCTCCTTATAGTAAGTGGTCAGTTCAGATTTTGTTTCTTCTTTATTCAGTATTGGTAGGTTATATGTTTTTAGGAAGGTATCCATTTTTCCTTTGTCGTCCAGCTTGTTGGCATATAGTTAATCTTAACAGTTTCTTATGATCCTTCATATTTCTGTGGTTACATTTTCTTTTTATATTCCCCTCAGTATTCTGGGAAATTTTTTTTTACTTTATTTTTAACCCTTCTATTAGTCTTTTTGAGAGGGGCAGTCACATCCTAATTTCCAACAGATCTTTCTTTTCCCTGCTTGCTCCCTTTGAGTTTCAGTTCTTGTTTTATGGCTTCATTGATTTTTCAGATATCTCTAGAAAATATTAATTGGAATTATTTTAAGTATTTTTTTGGTTCTCTTATCTTTGTTTCCATTATGTGAGTCATTTTTTGTGATCATCTTTGTCCTCATTTTTTTGTTTGTTTGTTTTTTGCTATTGGTCTTCCTCAGATGCCTGGAGATCCTTGGCTCTTTGTATATATTTAAGAATGAACAATTAGACTGATTAATATAGATAGCTGGCATAGGTTTCCTATGCCATGTAAATGTGTCTGTTTCTCCAATAGACTTCTCCTTTGAATGGGAGGGTTAACTGGTAGCTCTAGGTACATTAGCATGGTATATAACTGGCAGGATCCCTCTAGATGTATGGGCATGGAATAAATCAAAGCCTATCCCACACACTACCCTACCCAAAAGATGAGGATACTTTACTCAAGAGCATCAACACTCATACAAAAATATCTACCTGTCTGTATCTAGCTCTCTGTTACCCTCTCTCTCTCTGCCTCTGTGCTTCCCCCCCCCCACCCTCATCCATAGATTGTTCAATTTGTTTTCAAGAATAGTCTTCTGCTTTTTCTCTTGGAATAAACAGCTTGTCAGATTCACTTGGATGCACTAGGAAGAATGAGAGTGGGGAGCTGACAGGCACAGATTTTCCAGAGTGCTTCAGTTAATTGCTTCACTGACTTACTTCCCACCAGTGTTTTCTGTTAGGAAGCTATCCCAGCCTCCTCTGTCAGGAATATCAACTCATCATCGGAGCTTGTATATTGATTTCCATTTTTAGAAATCCATTGACAATTGTGCTCCAATGATGTGTCATATAACCACTTCTCCTATTATCAGTTATTCCTTTTTTATTTTTCAAGTGGAATTTAGTGGAGAAACATAGTCTGCCATCTTGAATTGTGGAACAGAAAGCATTTAAGTTGTATTTTAATCAGTTTCTACCTGAAAATATGATTTTGTATTCCAAGTGTTCTTAAATCCATATGTGACAGCTCAGTGGTGCAGAAGGAAAAGAAACCATTTTGTCTCTAAGAGCCTTCGCTAGTATTGATTCTCACATTTGTATAGTACGTATGTCTATCTTTGAATACTCTCTCGTCCCATCATAGAAGAGGACCACGTATGTCTCGTGCTCTGTTGTTCCATTACATTAATGATAGGAAACTTTGTGTATGGTGAGTAATTGGTATTTTTCAAGGTCTCCATTGCCAGGCAGAATGCTAGGTCCTAGAGGTAACAGAGATAAATAAGGTATGGTCCTTGTGCTCATAGGTTCATGAGAACTCATTGCCAGGTGGATAAGAAGGCACATCTTTACGATACAATACAGTAGATGCCATAATGGACAAGGATTTATTCTCATGTCTCATAATGAAGCAAATGGGTACTAAACTAACAAAAGGATCTTCAGTCAGCACCTGTGTTTTTTGCGTCTCCTCTACATCAGTGAGATTTAGGCTAATTTTATATTTAAGATTTCAAGAACTAAATAAATTTTCCTCCCCTGCAGTTTTGGCACACGATGAACTCTAGCACTGGCTTTGATAAGAAGATAAAAATGACCAGAAATCTGCCACCTGCTGGGGAAGAGTGGAAGTACTACTAAGACTTATGGAAGTTTCATTAAAGATCAGTGGAATATTCTTCAATTTAAAAATACATGTACTGAAAGTATTAAATAATTTAAGTTATATAAGAAATGACCTTTGAGTATTTAAAACTAGATTATTCCTTTTTTTCTGATTGCTTAAAACAGTGGCTTTTCACCAGTTAAAGTGATATTTTGCCAGGTAACCCAGCAGAACATATCTGACTCATGGGGATTTAGCAAACCATCTACATCTTTGTGTATTCCAGCTCTTTGTACGTTCATATTTTCTTACGGAATGCATTTAAAATTAGAGAAACATATTTTGTTTTCTTCTGAGAAAGGACTCATGATTATTTCTGAATAATAAAAAAAAAAATTAAGCCCATTTATACCTTAACCGTTGTTTTAAAATGGAAGTAATGTTGCATTGTAATCATTATTTTATCTTAAATCATCTGTTTTATGCTGTATTTGTATTTTTATATTTCTGAATTTTATTTTATAAAATATTTGTGGACTTACGGGGTATGTGCATATTCTTTTTAAAAAAGAACTGGCTACTTTTATAGAAACTAAGAATGTAAACTTTGTTTTCCTGCTGCATATTAATAATAGATGAATAGGAATAATAAATGTTCAAAAACTATCCAACTATTCTAGAATCTTAGGATCTTGGGACTAGAAGAAACTTCAATGTCATCAGGAACCTTTCCCCTTAAGAAGCTGATTCAGTAGGGCTGAGGTGAGCATGGGAAATCATGATTGTTTATTAAGCTCTCCAGATGATTCTGTTAATAAGTAAGGTTTGGGGAATATTTACTAAAGTATAGCATCCAGCCAGTGTGCCATCCCCCCTTACAAGGCCCTGTCAAGTAAAGCTTCAGGCCATCTTGGAGCCGCCCAGAGTGAGAGAGAACTGTTTGCCTGTAGAGAAAGGCTGGTCCATTTTTGGACAGCTCAGTACAGGTATGTCCACAATGAGCCAGAAGCCGTCTACTAGCAGTCTCTAGTCTTGTTCTTTTGAGCTCCTCTGAACAAGTCTAATCCTTCTCTATTTGACAGTATAGCCCATAGAGTATTTGCAGTTAAGTATTCTGTTCCCAGCAGTTTCATTCATTTCTAACAAGAGATCACAAGCCCCTTCTCTCTCCCAGTCACCCTGCCTTTGTTACTTGTTTGTGTTTGTGATAAAATCCAGTGCTCCAGGTTTGGCCTACCCAGATGGAACTAGATTGTTCCTGTGGCTCTCAGGGATCCTAAGGGATGCTGTCAAAGCTGCAGTGGTAACTTGGCCTGGGCTGACCAACTCCACCATACTCTCTGTGCTCTCTGGTTCACTCCTCTTTGGAGTCAGGTTTGAACATCTGGGCTTGGTGAAAGGTAAGAGACTCCGTAAGCTCCTGGCTTAGGCCAGATGCTCCAGTCCACTTCACCTGAGGTCTGCTGTGGTGTTCTGGGCAGAAGCCCCAACAGACTATAAGGTGGTAGTCTGTTTTCACTTCTGTAACAATCTTATAGAAAGGATAGGCTAGGCAAAGGCACCTGATTCCCATGCTTATTACTGTCATGTCCAACATGCTAGATTGTATATTTCATAGAAAAGCTAGAATTGCATAATAATGTAAATTCAGTCTCGATGGCTCCCCTCCCAGTTTCTGGTGATTTAAATGATTAAATTTACATGGCTCATTTCCACATGATTGATATGTTGTATCTGAAAATCCAGATTTATAAATAAGATATTTCTTTACAGGGACTTCCTCTCTGTTCTCCTGGCAGCCCTTATGCTTGTTGCAGGTATTTTTTTGTCTTCAGACTAAGGCCAGTTGCTCATATCATGCATATTGTTATTAAGAATTTGTAAATCTTGAGATTTCTCGGAAAGTTCTATATAGGCATTCTGGCCATCCTTTAGTTTTAGGATACGTAAAATATATAACTGAGAAGCTACTTTTGTTTGTCATTAGAAATTTGAGATAGGCAGCAGTGTCATCCTCTCTCCCACCCCCTTTGAGGACTTACCCAGAAATGTACAAATTATGGTATAAAAGGGAAAGTCTTCAAACAAAGCCAATTTACGTATTAGATTTTAACTGTATTGAAACTGAAGAACTATCCACTTTAACCCTAGCTGTCCGAGGACATGGGCAGGTGGGGAGGGTGGGATTTTAGCCATTTCTGCTTTTTGTGCTCCTGATTTTCAACTGGCATACAGGAGGAGCCCTTCTGTCACTTTAGTCACTGATTATATGTAAAGCAAAGTTGGAAAATAGACTTTTCCAAAAGACTAAAAATGAATCAAAAGCAAAAAAGTACTATTTTAACCATAAATATTTTTATTAAATGTGAAAATACACGGGCATAAAAATAGTACCCATATTTGTGACATGTCTGAGACCCATTTCAAATAATTTTCAGTTACTTTATTAAAACTAAATTGAGATGGATTAGGTTACTTAGTCTTGTCTCATTCAAAACAAACTGTAGTCTTATAGGAGTAACATCTTAACTTCTCAAATGTCTCTAGTTTTTATCTTCTCTGCTTTCCACAGCAGGTAAGAGGTTCAACCACAGATGAGTGCAACAAAACCTGTTACTATACACAAAGCCACGCAGTGGCTAATTTTACTCTTAAATCATTCAGCAAATGAGATCATCCATTAAAAAAATTATAACATTTGCCATTAAGAATAAACTCTGCTGCTAAAAGGAATGATCTGATTTAATTTAGAATAAGGATATTATTTGTTGACAAATTAGCATTTGCCTTCTTCCTTTATAAATATGGAAAAGTAAATTACATTCAGTAAAATTCCATGAATTTCTCTAGGTTATACCACTGATGTGTACTCAATGCAAACTTTTTGCAAGGCCTGTCACCAATGCCCTGTACCTTTGAGGAACATGGCTCTAACATAGACCTGACGGGAACCATTTTTAACTTAAGCATCTTAATGCATTTTTTTTCATGGTAAATCACATACAATTCTGACCAATTTCATATCTTAAAAGGTGAAATCTTTCATTTTCATTTTTCACCATGAATAGAAATGGTGCCAATTTGAAATTGTAATTCTGCTAACTTTTTTTTTCTACTCCGTTATCAGTAGTATTTTTCTCTTAAAAAACTTGAGGGTAGTTTTTACATTCCACTATCAGAGTCCCCCAAAATTATGATTCCATACTGATATTTAAAATAAACTTTTAATACTGACGAAGACATTTTAAAATTAGTATTATGTTACATCCAATTCACATCAGTAAGGTATTGAAGATGTTTTCATTTATCCATGGTAAGAAAGCATAAACTTTCAATAATGGGCAATAAATTATTCTCTTTTTATAACTCTGTCACATGTATAGGCTGATATGTTTAATACTTGCTGCTGTGGAAAATATCCACAATGTATATAGACTAGCAATACTTCACTTCTGGAGCTCACCAAAAAGGAATGGAGGAGTTTAAGAAGGAAACATCCTACAGGTAAGGCAGAGTGCCCTTCTGATTTTACTTTTTCAGAAAGAGCCATAAAGGTTACCCAGCACGTGCTGTCTCCAAAAACAGACTAGAGAGTGGTAAGTGAAAGCAGCCCAAACAAGTCAAGTGCTTTCTTGGTCACCTGCTTTCCATTGCATCATGATCTCCATCTAGCCAGAAAGAGGAACAACTATCCCTTTATACATGTTTTTTCACAGTCACTGTTAAGGAAACATGGTGTGACTTTTCCCATTCAGGTGGATACCAGAAGCCTGCTGATGCCCATCAAGACTGAAGGGTTGTTTTCTTCATCGATCAGCAAAACAGATTCCAGAGAATTTTCCTCAGAGGCATTGGCAGTTGGCATTATAGCTTTTACTCTACAGTGAAAACAGGCAAGAAACTGCACATTTCTGTTATAATGACTCAATTAAATCCATGGTAAGACTTTATGAACAAGAATTATGGTTATTACAAGTAGAGAAAAAATAATGCAAACAACTCTCTGGGCAGCAGGTTTGCAGGCAGTGAGGTAATGGGTGTCCAAGACATGTATCCATGTGGCCCAGCCTGCAATTCTTCTGACCCCATGGTGTTGGCAACTTAGGATCCTCTCCTCTGAATGGAAGGGCAAGTGATTTGATATTTCCTTTGTTCTGACTGTGTGTGAAAATTCTTAGTTTTGAAAGAAGGTAGAGGCCATTGCTAGATTTCAAAGAGGTCACAGTGACATAAGATTGGAAAAAATATTTCTGATAAAACTGATTAAATAAAATGAATTTCCCTTGGAAATTATTTTTGCACTGGCTTGAATTTTGAGACATTGAAACAAAATGAAAGCTGCAAGTTGTTCACTGGTTTTCAAAATGCATTGTTAAGTTTATTGGTAAGAAATAGATGCAAAAAGCACTTATGTGTTTTACCCAACTAAACTATGTGATTTTTGTCTGTTTAAAAAAAAATATTTTCCACATATGTTTCAGGATGGCTGTAGAAGAAAATGATTTGTGCTTGGCTGCTGTAGACATTACTAGTCAGGATACCTCCCACAACTAAAAATTAAAATGCTTGATTTCATAAAAACAATGTATTAGACCCATACTGCTTAAAATGCTGAGACAAAAACCTTTCTAGAATAAAGGTAATAATTCTTTAAAGTAATTATTAGATTTTAAATGCAGCATCAATAGTTTCATAAATATTTAATGTTCTTGATTAAAGTAACACCCATTTCTTAGGGAAAAAATTATCAAATATACAAAGATTGAATAGTTCATTTCTTAAAAGCTAAGAAGGTATCCCAAGAAGAGTTGCCATCTTGATAATACAGCCAGAGCCAACTAGATTTGTAAACCTGTATTTTTTTTATTGGCAGGAGGAAATCTAGAGGCGTCCTGGTCTAGTAATAGGGCAGGTCCACTGTTTAGCGCCCACCTTCGACAGGTTCCATGTGGAGTCACTATAGTCCAAGAGGGGCAGCCAGGAGGTAAGAGAAGCTGTGTCACTGTATTCATTAAAAGTGGGAAAGGGGCATTCTATTTACGTTGACTAAGCAACTTTACATTTCTAAGTCAATCCTGTTATTGGAAATACTTCACTTAAAGTATTTCACTCTGCACTTCAGCAATATTTTAAATAATACCACTGCTGTATTACCTGACCTTAACTTAATTTGTTGTGTTTCATATTAAACAAAAAGGCCCAGAGGTTTTGCAATTCTATTTCAGTATTCTGTTGCAGGTACTGAACAATTTGGTAGCAGTTTCTCTATAAGATTGGCTCTGCCCCTCCTTCAGTGACAGCCATGTTCACGCTAGTAGGGAGATGGAAATGCAGCTGCCCCTGAAATTTAACAAATGTTTGCAAGTGATTGGACTGACCAAAATCTAAGCAAAGCTGTCCCTAAGAACATACAGCTCCAGATGTTAATATTCTCATTAAGAATGCTGAAATACAAGCTGTTCTCGTGAAGATTATAGCTCCTTCCACACATAGGCACTGACATACTATGCAAGGCTGTGAAGAAAATTTCTGCATACTCCAGTACAGAAAAATACAAAATATGTGAGCACTGCCATGGGTGGGCCTGCTTCAGACCCCTTCTTCCAGACATTCACAACAGATACATAGGCCGCTTTGTCAGAAACAGGACCATTCCTTACCTCCCTTCCTTCATCAGCCTCAAGTCTAAAATGGATACGAAGAGATTTTTCTTCTTAAAATAACTCTTTGGTCATGGACAAACAAAGATTTGAAATTTGTTTTTTCATTAGGATCCTGGAACAGGGTTTGTTTGTTTTTAATCTTTAAAAAATTAAGGAAGAAGAGAAAAAAAAAAAAAAACAACAGCCGGTTTAATTGAAGTGGAATTTAAATCTAAAAGGTCCACCTGAGCTGAAGGGATTGAACCCTTGCCATGAGTTCCAGCTTCTGTGGAAAGGGTTGCCGCCACCTCCTTGTTGGTTCTCTGCATCCAGGGGATCTTCTCCGTCGTCAAACTTCTTCCTCATTTCTATAAAAGAAACCAGCCGACTCATGGATTGACTAAGGTGTGAGGTCAATACTTGAGAGGTAGGATCGGGGAACCAATTACCAAAACAGTTGTGCCTGATCTTCAAATCTCTCATTCCACCCAGATCAGAGGTTTGGTTTCACAAAAACAGACTAGGAAAACACCAGTCACATGGAAGAGGGTGAGCGCCAGGGTTGAAAATGGCTGTCATTGAAATTCAGGCCCCCTAAATCCTCTCCTCACAAGAAGCTACCCAAGGAAATTCTTCTCTGGAAATAAGTAATAATTGCAGAGAAAGAGACCTCCAAAAGTCACACTTTTCTGATCAAACAGCCAGGTCACCATTCCAACCCCAGTAATGAAGTCAGCCAAGCACAACCTCATCAGCCCACCAAGCTTTCTGGCGCTTCACCATTAAACCTGAACGGAACTAAGGTCCCTCAGACCTGAGGGTAAGCAAGGTCACCTCCACTGCTGTGCCTGTTAGTCCTGAGGAAAACCCCTAACTAGAAGAGATGCACAGATTGGGAGAAAGGAACATTACAGGTGGCAGAAGAGCAAGCTAATATCCTCAGAGATTAGAAAAAGGAACAGAGAACAAAAAAGAACTCTTAGTAATTAAACATGCAGTTCTTCCTCAATGCATGCTTTCGTGACTGTCAGCCCCGACTCCCCGCCTGATGTAGCTGCCACACCTGTGCACACTAAGAGGCCAGAACCAGCAAAGGAAGTTATGGACTCTTATTCAGCAAATGAAAGAACAGACAGTATGTATCTTACTGTATACTCATTAAGTACACTTCTGTCTCTCTTACTGGCTTATAAACTATTTGGGAACAAAGGATCGTTGAACTTCAATTCCACAGCATAAGTAGGTATTCAAGAAAGATTTGTCACATAGGCATAAAACTTGATTTCCTTCTATTTTTGTTGCATTTGTCTAGCTGAAATCATAGCTTCTGCTCCCAGGGACATGGGAAGCCACAAAAAGCAGTAAGTTTTAGTTTAACATTAAATTGCCCCTGGAAATGTCAAACTATTGCCAGTATTACCTAAATTCCTAGCTGTCTCATTCTTTCCAGGCCATTTTAGCATATGATAAATATAATGAACTTTTAAGGCAAGGTTCCTGGGGAACACACACGGGGCAGGCAGCCCCTGGGCTAGGTATATGCTCTTCTTCCACCACGACACACTCCAGCCTGATACCTCGTTTCCTAATCAAGCTCCTGTAAGTTTGGTATAAAAAATTCATCACTGATCTATGCAGTTGGAAGGAACCTAAGAGATCCCCGTCATTGTTGTGCTTTCACATCACAGGTGAAAAGAAGCCCATTTTTTCAAGCAGAGATAAGAGTCAAGCTCAGGGCTGTCAATTCCGTATTTGTTTCCTTTCAACTGTGCTGCAAACATGAGGGTCCCTGAGTCTTACGAGAATACACATAAAACTGGACTTCTGAAACTGCAAGGCTGGGACCAGCCCCAGGGCTGCCTGCTGTCCTCTCTGATGCTGCCGTCTATGGCAGGCAAAGGAAGAGGGCTAAGTCGCCAGACACCAATTCAGCCATTTCAAGAGAACAGAACATGTTAAAGGCAAGTGATACCTGGATCAGAGAGGACTTCTTTAGCAGCTGCTATGTCAATGAATTTTTTCTCAGCTTTTTTCTTTTCTTCTTCATTCTGGAAGTTATCTGGGTGCCACTGCAGTGCTAATTTTCGGTATGCTTTAATGATTTCTTGCTTTTTGGCATTTCTGCGGGATTTTAAAAATTGATTATTAGTTAAGTACTCAACACATTGCCACAAAAAAATGAGACAGTTAAAAATCCCACTGGCAAACTAGCAACCTGGTTTTCCTAATGGTGTCAACAGGCTGAACGACATACAGCTCTGGATGATCATTAAAACTGGTCAGGCTTCCTAATTTACTTGCTTACTAAGATTAGAATCTTACTGGGAATAAATTAAAGTACTCCTGATCTTTACAATTTTCCCTTAAAAAAATTCACATAGACCCATTTTTAAACTTTCTGAATTTGTAAGCTACCATGATTTATTGGCATTAAAAGAGATACTTTGAAGCACACTTTCTATTTTGCTTGTACATTAACTTACTTAAAGAACAAACCAATGTTTGTTCAGGGAAGATGTATCTTACATAAAAGTGCATGTTAAGTTAAATATCCCACAGTATCTACAAGTTGATTCTAAAAATACTACTTTATTTTTAGGCCTACAGTTCTTTCCCCAACCCCATCAAAAAAAATGCTCACTCCTACCCTCTTTAAGAAATCTAGCCTAAGGACCTATTCATGCTACAGTATATCTTCGTCACCAACTACTAATTCTCCATAGTTACATTACTAGTCTCTATCAAAGAAAGTTGTAACGTGTTCAGAACATCTTATAAAATTAAGACTGTTAAAGGTTTAATTTATGACCGAAATTTCATAGGGAAATGAATCCAAGAGGGAAAAAAGAGCAATGATTAGCTTTAAAACAGTTGATTAAAAATAATGCAAATTTTAAATTCACCTTTTTACTCCCAAGATTTTATAGTAATCTCGTTTTTGTGACTGTTTCAGTAGTCTCTGTGCTTTCTCTAGACCTTCCCGAATCTGCTGATCATTTTCATTGTGTTCCTGAGCAGTTTCATAATCCTGGATAGCTGTCAAAATGTTTAAGATTAATGCTGTTATAAGGAATCATAATTTGTAACCTTATTGCACAAAACTGACACGTCACCATCCCCAACCCTTTTACTCTTTTGCCATTACTGCTAAAAGCCTAAGAAGTGATACCTTAGAAATTTTGTTCACACACTTATAAAAGGCATGATTAAGGCTGAATGTAGTAGCTTATTACTGCCAGTCAATAAAATTCACTGCCCTTTGTTTCCACCCTCCTACAAGTCTGCCCCACGCCTTTGAGGTGTTATAATATCAGCACTTCATACGGAGCACTCTTACCATCAGTAAGATTAAAGTGACTGTTACATAGGAAAACAAGACAATGGCAAAGAAAATCTGCATGGGCAGCCACAGGGTCTACAATGCGGAGGAATCAGGGGCTTAGAATGGCTCACCATGCAGAAGCTGTACAATGTGGCTTACTCTCAATGTCGTCTTTCCTTCTGGAAGTCTGGCATTTTGGTATGAACAAGGCAGAAGGTGTGTACCTCCCACCCTCCAATAAGTACCCTGGTACACAACACTTCTCATGTGCTGAGGAATTAGCTTGTGCTGTGTGATTTCACAGAGATGCTTGGAATCTTCCACCTGGTTTCCCATGAATTTTGCCCCACGAGTCTTTTCCTCTGTGGATCTTACTCTGTATCATTTCACTGGAATTAAATCTTAGCCCTGAGTACAACTATATGCTGAGTCCCGTGTGTCCTCCTACCAAATGTGGGAATGGTACTGGGAGCAGCAACATAAATTTTTCAGTGTTCTCCCTGGACAGATGTCTCAAATAACGGATTGTTGGGTTCAAATTCTAGTTTTTTTGGAACTGCATTTCATTGTGGGAAAAGACCTCTCTCTGGATAACATGCCTGAGCATTCATCTTGGCCAAAGCTAATCCTAGAAGGGGTTTAGGAAGATACTCTGGGCAGGTTAAAATGAGAAAGATATTAGAATAAAGTCCACAAATGTAGTTACCCTGCACTACATAGAAAAATGAACCAACACTTTCTTTGGCCCATGGCAGGGGGGGGCGGGGGAGGAGGAATGCTTTAAAAGCTTTAATCCTAATTCCTGCCTCAGTGCATTAATATTAATACTTAATATGAAACATTAAATACTACTGTGACATCATAAAATAACATTCCAATTTAGTACACAAACCATCATAAATAGTTGAGGTTTAACTTTGCAATTAATACCCAAAACACAACCTAGTAAGGAAATGTACTTTGAAGGAATTTAATACAAGAGAAAAAAATTTGCAATATCTGTAACTTTGCTACTTATGCAAACTCTACATTTAAAACATGTTTTAAATGTTCGGAGTATCTCCCACAAAGCAGTCTTCAATATCCTATCTTTTATTAAAACTTAAGGTAATTTCCTAAAATAGGAAAAATATAAAATTATAGGTCATTTCAAAAAGTCACATGATTGCAGATAGGTAACTTCAGAAACTTAATATGGATGATGTAAGACTTCCCATGGACAAAAATTAAATACATGAGATTCTACTCTTCAAGGGGGAATCTTCAGGAAAAAAGTGACACCCAATTATGTTTATCCCATACTGAGCAGCTATGAAAGCAGTATAAGCTAGAAGTAGGCCCTGAATGAACAATATATTATGTATTAGCCAATTCATTTTCTAACCTCTGAATCTGAAAAATCTCCTTCCCCAGTTTTTTCTTCTATATCCCCTTCACTCAATTCTTAAGGAGCAGTGCATTCAACCAGGTCAAGATGGCAGACAGTAAGCACAGGAATTTGCCTGCCCTCCAACCATCCCACCAAAATGACAAAAACAAAACAACAGACCAGAAATTCTGATAAACTTCTCAGAATAAAACACAGATAGGATCATACTAATAACGAATAAACCTAAGTGGAAAGGGCCACAATCCAAATACATGTTGAAAGAGTCCCTAGCAGATTTGGAAGCCGTTCTGACCAAGGATCCTCAGTTTAGTGAGCAAGAGTAGCTTTAAGGCACCCATCAGGACAGTTCATGAGATGACTAAAGAATGGCTGGGTAGGCTCTCTCCTTGTATGTGGAGCAGCTACAGCATCAACCCCACTGAACCAGCCCAAGAACCAGCTTCTAAGCAGAATAGAAAATGTGCATCTTGAGGACTCCTGATATAGCTGGTGGGACCAGGAAGAGATGCAGAACTGAGCCCACGGAAACTTAAGACCTCTACAACGGGCTTGGAACAAAGGAAAAGCAGTTCCATCCAGCATTTAAATATACCAGAGGACACCACTCGAGAAGTAAAATGAGTAAAGCCCTGCTCATTCTCACAAATGGGCAAGATGGCAAGCACTTTAAGGTAAGTCTTCCTGTGAACAGGTCCTACTCAAAAGTCAGCAGTGAGCTCCCCAAAAAGAAGTATTTGAAAAACAAATATGCACAGTTGCAAATAACCCCCCACTCTCATTCTACCAATCCATTAGCAAATCCCAAATCAGCTTCCCTTCAACAGAATTTAACTACTCACAATTTCCAGTTACCACTGTCATGCAGTCCTTCGTTAATTCACCTGAATAGCTATGATAGTTTCATAACAGCTCTTCCAGCTTCCACCCTTATTCCCCTAAAAGTCTATCCTTAATACAGGGACCTTTTAAAGAGTACATCAGACCTCCAAAATAAACATGCCCATGGAACACCAACTTTTTCATCCTGGATATCACACAAAGCAAGGTAAATGGGGGAGCTCCATTTACAGCAAAACAATTCAAATAAACTGTATAGGGTTGCTAAAATTAGTATCAGCCATGAATCCAAAATGAGGGGGGGAGGCAAACAGGCCCAGTGGCAAGAGATCACAAAATGCCAGCAAAATGTATTTTATATGAATATGGGCTCACCCTGAAGTGACAACCTGTATTCTTTGCATATTACAAGATCCACGAAATCTAGAGCAGGCGTAGTGGAGATAAAGCAGAGGCCTTACTAGTGAGAAGACAGGAAAAGAGGAGACTACAATGAGAGAATAACATAGCCCTGGGCAGCGCATCTCAAGAAACTCGGCAACCATGTGCTCTCTGAAGGTGAGGGGCTCACCCTGAAGTGCAAAAGATATACCCCTTTGATGTAGCAAAGGAAGTGGGCAGAGGGGCAGCAGGGCTGGCAGCAGACGATCTCCTGGACACGGTTTGGTTCAGAGAAGCAGAGAGGGCAGGGATATACAGAAAGGCCATTTTAGCAGGAAGCAGAATGTCTGTGGAAACAGTGAAGCAGAGAGTATGGCAAGTGTTAAGTATAAAAGGCCGCCCTGTCCCCAGCACCCCCTTACACACATACCCCCAAAGGACTTTCCCACAGATAGCTAGGACAGGGTAGTTCAAGACATTCTGTGATGAGTAACATTTTTTAATGGCACAGCATCAATTCAAAGATATTAAAATTTAAATTAAAACAGGAAAAGACCACCAAAACTTACCTGATGAACATGCCTCAGAACAGCCAAAGCATACATGAAAATTCTAAGCAAACATTGTGGCATGAATTTTTAAAACTTAATTCAATCACCTCTATTAAGGGCTATCACAAAGCAGAATAAGAACTCAGCAAAGAGATAAGATGAGATAAAAATGTGAATAGTCAAAATTCAAGAAAAATAAGAATAAAAACTATCACAAGTGAAAATGAAAAGGAGCACGAGGGAGAAGAAGCATATGGGGGGAAAAATAGAAACCCCCGAAAAATGAAGTGGAAATAGCTTAAAAAGACTAGAAAATTGTAGCTATAGATGGCAAGCAAAGAGAATACAACCTATACATAATTGAATTTTGGAAGCAGAAAACCAAATCAATAGAACAGAACAAAACAACTCAGGTTAAATTTAAGAAAACTTTCCTAAAATAAAAGAAATCTACATATTCAAAGGGCACACTAGGTACCAGGGCAAACTGGATGAGAATGGTTAACATTAAGATATATCCTAGTATAAGCACACTTGAAAGAAAAGGGCTCTTTTGGCTAGACCAAAAACAAAAACAGCGTGACCCTAGATTTTCCATAGCAATATTCATTGCCCAAAAAGTAACTACAAGATATATAAAAAATTTGTGAACAAAGGATTTTATTATCTACCCAAGCCATCCTTCCAATATGAAAGGTACAAACATCTTTGAATATAGAAGTCAGGAAAAAATTTTCCCAGGAGCCCCTCTAGGAAACTACTATTGGATGAATTCACCAAGAGAATGCTAGAGAGACCACAGCCAAAGGAGGGATGGCACATGTTGAATATATTTAATATAGAACGAAGACTAAAAACAGGGAATTATAGTGATAGAGTAAAATGTTTGCCTTCACAAGGCAAAAGGAATAGAGCTAACAAAAATGGGAGAAGAAAGAGGAAAGAAGATGAGAACATGAGCTCATTAATTCCCACCAATTACAGCTGAAGCAATCAGAAAACATCACCCAGTGGTAAGTCAAAGGCAAATACTTGAGAGAAATTTATTAACACGTTATTAAGTGGTAGAGGAAAAGGAGAGAAAAAATATGCTAATATTGTTCCTCACTATAGAAAACTAATAGATATTGCCCAAAGGAAGAGGCCTAAGTTAACAAAACTATAAAAATAACCAAGAAAAATACAAACCTTCCTATCAGGATAGTACACAAAATAATACAGCTAAATAGCAAATATTCTCAGCAAAACAAAATGTCAGAATTCAGACCAAACATCTGTAACATCAATAAATGTAAATGTGTTTAACTCACCTATTTAAAAGAATTTCACAGGGGATCACAAATCAAAACCCAACCCTATGCAAGAGGCATACCTGAAACCAAGTGATTCCAAAAAGCTGAAAATATGGTCAAAGGTTCACCAGGCAAATGCAAATAAAATGTGATTCACAGTCTTCACATCAGAAAATAGAAGTTAGGTCAAAAACATTAAACAGCAAAAAAAATGGGGACATTAAACAGCAAAAAAAATGGGGAGGGGGATTTATTATGTTCAA